CCTTGGCAGCCTTTCTTCCCTCAGCCCTGAACTCCAGAGCCCTCCTTACCCTCTGACAGCTCCCCCTGCCCTACTACGTTCCCTCCTTCACCCCTTGGCTCTGCCCATCCTCACCATCCACCCCATCCCAGCAGAGCCCGCCAGATGATTGCAAAAGGGCTGAGCCAGCAGAGAGGCCTTCACATGACAGCTGTTCCTGCTGCAGAGGGGAGGGCAGCTGGGAGTGGAGGCACATTCCATGGGAGATCCTATCAGAGATAGCCCCAAACCCTCACTGACCATCCAACCCCCAATCTGCATATCTTGTGTTCAAAAGGTAGAGCCAGTAGGCTTGCCTCGAAATCCTGAGGAAATCAAGAGAACAAAGGGGAGTGGTGGAGAAGGCAGGGGCCTAAGGGAATGAAGAGAGCCCAGGAACACTGAGATGGGGTAGCCAGGACATCACCACTGAGCCAGTACCACCAGCCCAAGGTATTCTCCCTCCAATGGGAGATTCAAGTGACGGAAGCGCTGCCCTCCAGCACCCCCCACCATACCCCACTCCACCCATCCCTTGGGTGCTGAGGCACTGGGACACCCCAGTAATTACCCTGGAGTAAAACAACAGCCTGCTCTGGGAGCCATGCCAGTCTGACTGGAGCAAACAGACAGAAACAGGTGGCAGTTTCTGTAACCTTTCAGGAGCACCAATGTGAGCTCCACAGCACTAGAGTAAGGTAACTGGGTGGGAACCCCAGGATCACATTCAAACATACAGAAGCGGGCTGGGCGCAGTAGCTCACGCCTGTAATCCCAGCACTTTGGGAGGCCAAGGCGGGTGGATTACCTGAGCTCGTAGTTCGAGTCCAGCCTGGCTAACATGGTGAAACCCCATCTCTACTAAAACTACAAAAAAAAAAAAAAAATTAGCAGGCATGGTGGCACACACCTGTAATCCCAGCTACTCTGGAGGCTGAGGCAGAAGAATTGCTTGAGCCCGGGAGATGGAGGTTGCAGCGGGCCGAGATCATGCCACTGCCCTCCAGCCTGGCCAACAGAGCAAGAGTCTGTCTCCAAAAAAAAAAAAAAAAAAAAAAAAATACATGAGCACAGCAGGTAGGGGAAGTTAGTGCCCTGCAGTGCCCTATAGGCACACTGGCTAGGGGAGCTGGGGAAGCTACAGCACCCAGAAAAATCCATTTGATGTGTGTGGAGGGAAAGTTCTGAGTTGACAACAAAGAGTGCCCGTTGCCATGAAAACCACAGTATTAATTTCAGAAATGACTGGGTGGAGCCTCCAAAGCACTTCATTCCCCTCCCTTCAACACTCTTGGCTTCCCCCACCTTTCAAAAGGGGAAGTGGCACATTTGGGGCATGTGGGCAGCTGGTGGGATGGGTCCGATCCAGTGAGAGCAGCAGCTGTCCAGCTCCAGCTCAAAGCAGGGCATGAAAAAAAGGAAACAATGTAAGTCTTTCTTGGAAGAACTTTAAAGGTTTTTAACTTTTTAATAAGTGACTTAAGCAGAAGTGCCAACAGCTAAGATAAATAGCTGCTTATAACCAGTATCTACTGGTTTATCTACAAACTAACCAAGTCTCTTTCAGTCCCTCCCATTCACACTCCAGGCTCTGTAAAGATTTTATCTGAGTCAACTGCAACGCTGAGCCCCAACCCCTTCTCCAGTTTCTTTCACCCTCCCTCTGTGGAGGCTCTGAGATTTTGCCCAGTAAGTGGATAAAAGAGCCTCCACCTTCCCTCATTTTACCCTAGTTTTCTAAGATCATGCCCTGCCCTCAGCCCCTGATCCATTCAAACACCCCCTTCCCTTTCTGCTCCTCGCCCCTAGTCTCTGTGCCACGTGCTGGACCGTGGAGCCGGGTCGCCAGCTCTATGTGGTATGACACCCAGCTCTATGTTGGGTGGCATGAGACTCCCTGGAACCAAGAGAAAACTGCCCAGCAACCACAGACATCGACAGGCGCAGGCTCTGATTGGCTACCCACAGCAAAAGCAAGGAAAAGGAAAGATCCATCGAGCCATGGAGAGCCGAGCCCAGCTGGGATGGGAAGGGGAAGAGCCCTTGCTGCAGTGACTCAGGCCTCCCTGGGGCAAGGCGGGGGACAGAAAGAACTCCAGATGTGCTTCCCCTTTCCTGCCTCACATCTGCCGTTAGAAACTTCCACTGTTAACCTCTCCCCTACCCACCACAGCAGAGAAGCCCTCACATCCCAGCCCCGTGTAGAGGCCAACGGCCCAGCCTTCCTGGGGCCACAACCCTCTCCTCTTGAGGCTCCTCCTCCTGCTTGTGGGTACTGGCCCTCGCCCAAGTGCAAGCTCGGCCTCAAACAACAACCTGGCCACTCTTACTCTGCACCACAGCGAGGGCTGGAGGCAGGATGTGCAGATGACTCACTCTTCCTGCAAGCAGAGGGAGGCTGAGGTAGGGGACCCTGCCCCAGCCCAGATCGCCTAGTCCGTGTGGGCTGCCAGGCCCGCTGCTGCCCATGGCCCACCCAGCAGAACCCCACACACACCTCACAGTTGGGCTTCCCTCCTGAGCCTTTCAAGCCGCCCTCTCAAACCTAAACTACTCTTTCAACTTGCTTCCTCCTGTCTGAGGCTTCAGCCACAGGAGGTTACGGTGAGCAAACACCAGGAAGGTGGTGAAGGTCCCACAACCACAGAAGGAGGTGTGATTTGAAACAGAATTTGGGAAGAGTCTGACAGCTTCAGTGAGGCCCCAGCAACAAGCTAAGAGGCACAAAAGTCTGCATCTAGCACTTTATTTTTGAGATGGGGGTCTGTGTTGCCCAGGCTGGAGTGCATTGGCTGTTCAGTTGCAATCATGGCAAGCACTGCTAAGGCCTCCAACTCCTGGCCTCAGCCATCCCCCGACCCAAGTCGCCAGGACTACAGGAACATGTCAATGCACCACCTGACCTAGCATTTTTACATCGTAGCTAACAAGAGCCCAGGAAGCTCAGAAGAAAGGTATCAAGTTTGGACCCAGTTCAAGATCAGCTGCCAGGGAGCAGAGTCTGAGCAAGCATCAGCCCATCCCCACCCATATGGATTCTAAACCACAACTCTTCACTGCCCACTCCAACGGCAGGTCAAACGTGCTCAGCTGCAGATGACAGCCCAATCCCCTCCCAACTACCAACCCGTGCTATGTACTTGGCTTCCCCATCCAAGCCAAGAGCCCTTTTCTGTGCCTGGACTAAGAAACAGCATTAAAAAACCACACACAAAACCGTAAGCTGGGGACCAAAGGCAGTCACCCGTTTCTGCATATGCCTCAAAACGTGACTCAATCTAGAGGTTTCCAATTTCACCCAAACTGTTACATTTACAGGGAGATCTTCAACGATCTTCAGAAAAGATAGAAGAGCAAGAAAATCTGAAAAGGATATAATAAAAATTAAGCTCAAAGGGGAAAAAAGGGTAACCTTTGGCCTGAGCAGGATATTAGCTGACAATTACAACCACTCTACCTTCTAGGAGGCAGCAGGGCGTGGACACAGGCTTCAAGAGTGACACCCGCCGGGCGCAGTGGCTCAGCCTGTAATCCCAGCACTTTGGGAGGCCAAGGTGGGCGAATCACGAGGTCAGGAGTTCAAGACCAGCCTGGCCAACATGGTGAAAGCCTGTCTCTACCAAAAATACAAAAATTAGCTGGGCATGGTGGCATGTGCCTGTAATCCCAGCTACTCAGGAGGCTGAGGCAGAACTGCTTGAAGCGGGACTCAGGAGGTGGAGGTTGCGGTGAGCCGAGACCACACCATTGAACTCCAGCCTGGGCAACAAGAGTAAAACTGTCTCAAAAAAAAAAAAAAAAAAAAAGTGACACCCAAGCGAGGCGTGATGGCATACGCTTATAATACCACCTACTAAGGGGGCTGAGGCGGGAGGATCACTTGAGACCAGGACTTCAAAACTATAGCACGATTGAGCCTGTGTACAGCCAGCCACTGTACTCCGGCCTAGGCAACATAGCAAGAACTCCTGCTCTCTAATAAAAAAAATTTAAAACATTTTCCTGACCCAGTTTTACCAAAAAAATTTTAAAGTAAAAAAAAAAAAGTGACACCCACTGGGTTCAAAACTCTGCCTCTAACACTTAAAATGTGTGATCACAGGCAAGTTAGTGAAATCTCTAAACCCCTACGCTTCCCGTTAGAAATCAGGGATACCACCAGCCTGACAATGCAGCCGGGAAAGGGCCAACGGGCCGGGCCAGGCCAGTGCCTGTTCTGAGTAGTCTATGCCTTGCCCTGCAGGTTTGAGGCATCTGAACTACAGCCCTAGGGCAGGCATGGTGATGCATGCCTATCATCCCAACACTTTGGGAGACCAAGGCAGGACGACCGCTGGAGCTCAAGTTTGAGACCAGCCTGGGCAATATGGCAAAACTCCATCTCTACAAAAAAAAAAAAAAGAAAGAAAATTAGCTGGGTGTGGTGGTGCACACCTATAGTCCCAGCTACTTGGGAGGCTAAGGTGGGAGGATGGCTTGAGCCTGGGAGACGGAGGTTGAGCTGAGACTGCACCACTGCATTCCAGCCTGGGCAACAGAGCCAGACCTTGTCTCAAAAAAACAAAACAAAAGAAACTACAACCCTTGCATATTGTCAGCTACCTACCTCACAGGACAGTTATAGGAAATAATGTAAAGTTTCTTTGCACTCTGAATTATACATGTTAGCTCTTGTTATTAGCAGCTATTCTCTCCCTTCACTGGGAAAGGCCTGGAATCTGACCCCTACGAATTAGGTAGTCACAAAGCCCCATGTCACTATCCGCCCCAACTGCTTCCGCTCTTTCCCAGCTAGAAGACAGTCATCACCGTAGGAGGCAGGGTAATTAAAATCACAAGTGAACACAGGCCTCTATTTCTGTTCTTCTGAAGTCTTCTCTCCTGCATATCGAGGTACTGCAAACACAGAAAGCACCCTGCTTCAACATGTTTACTCCCCTTGGAGACGCCACCACTCACAGAGGAGGCAGGACAGGAAAGGGTTCAATGTTCAGTTTCCTTTAATGACCCCCATCTCCCTGAAGGGCAGGTGCAGGCAGCTAGGCGATGGCAAGAGATGTTCACTTGAAGATCTTGCCCTGATTGAAGGCTTTGCCCACATGCTGGAAGGCCCCCTCCCAGGAAAAGTACTCTCGAACCAGCGTCTGGGTCTCCTCGCTGCCAGGATCCAGTTTCCGCCATGTGTATGACTCGTAGTCCACCTGCCAATCTGGACTCAGCTGGGGATAAAAAGCCAGCATGTGGTCAAGTTATGAGACACCACCCCAAACCTGTGTTACTTCCAGCTCAAACACATGTCATCAGACCCCAGGTCTACTATGAACATGAACTGCTCCTTCCTATAAGCATTCCTGCACCCTTCTCAACGTCCATCAGCTCAGAAATAAAACACAATAATTCCTATACCCCTGCCCCACCCTAAAGAGACTCCTCTCCTCCACCTTCCTCACCGGAAAGGCAAGCTCCTGGCCTCGGAAGACCCAGACTCCAGAAATGGAGCTGCTATTGTTGGTTCCAAAGAGGATGACACTGGCGAAGGCATTCTTCCTCAGCTTGTCCAGTCGCTGGAACATTCCTGAAGGGGCAAGCAAGAACATTCAGCCTTTGGAATCACAGCACTTGCTACTCTTTGTTCTCCTTCCTCGTCTCAGACCCGCTCTCTTACCAGTGATGAGATTGCAGCTCATGAAGGTCTGAGTGAGTTCTTCAGGGAAGCGATACTCTGAGTACCACAGGGACCAGCCGTCCTTATCAAAGTGTTCCCAGAAATATGGCAGTGCCACAGAGAGTGTGTCCTCATTGGAGTACTTGCGCTTAAATTCATCCAACACAAAGGTACTAAGAGGAAGAAAGCATGGGGGTCAACAAGGAGGAGGGTTGCCAGGCTAAGAGAAGTGAAGGGTGCTTTCTTTTCAGCTTTACTAATATAAAGGAAATGGTCACTGCGCTGGCAGATGTGTATGACCTTATGAGGGAAGAGAGCTCAAGGGGTTTGAAAAGGGGCCTAGGACACTCCTCTGCGTAAGTATGCAAGGCATGTGGAGGGTGAACTCAAAGAGGGGCTCATGAGATGTGCCCCAGGAAGGGCATGGACAACTACTGCCCCCAGGTGGTGACAGAATGAGGATTCTTTTTCCCTGCTCAGGCCCTCCAGGCTGTTTTCCATGAACCACACTCAGTCACTGACTCATCCAAGTTTCTTCCCCCGACCATACAGGCCTCTTCAGGTTACACAAGCTGTAACAGGAATGTAAGCAATGAACATTCTCAAAGGGCCTCCACCCCAAATCTTACACCCATGTCCTTTAATCCCTCTCTGCCTATAAACAAGCTTTAGTCTTTTTCGAGGTTTTCTGATGCTGGAAAGCCCTTAGGTTCAGGTTATCTTAAAAGCAATCTGGCATACTGAGCCAAGAATGCCAGCATCAATATAGCAGAGGTCACTCCCTCCATGGTTGGAGATCTGTTTTCTTTCTTTCCAATTATAAACACATACACTGGCCGGACGTGGTGGCTCACGCCTGTAATCCCAGCACTTTGGGAGGCCGAGGCGGGTGGATCACCTCCCGTCCAGAGTTGGAGACCAGCCTGACCAACAAGGTAAAACCCCGTTTCTACTAAAAATACAAAAATTAGCCGGGCATGGTGGCAGGCTGAGACAGGAGAATTGCTTGAACTCTGGAGGCGGAGGTTGCAGTGAGCAGAGATCATGCCACTGCACTCTAGCCTGGGCGATAGAGGAAGAGTCCCGTCTAGGGGCAAAAAAAAAAAAAAAAAAGGCCAGGCAGTGGCTCACACCTGTAATCCCGACACTTTGGGAGGCCGAGGTGGGCAGACCATGAGGTCAAGAGATCAAGACCATCCTGGCCAACATGGTGAAAATCCATCTTTACTAAAAATAAATAAATAAATAAATAAAATAAAATAAAATAAAAAGTTGGTGGCATGCGCCTGTAGTCCCAGCTACTCGGGAGGCTGGGGCAGGAGACTTGCTTTAACCCAGGAGATGGAGGCTGCAGTGAGCCGAGATTGCACCACTGCACTCCAGGCTGGCAACAGAGCAAGACTCCATCTCTCTCTATATGTGTGTGTGTGTACATATACATATATATATATATATATATGCTGACTGAAGAAAATCACCTATAATGCCAACGAACAGGATAATCTTTTTATGTATTTTCCTATAGCCTTTGATTTTCCAAAGATGTAGCCATGACATATGCAGTTTTGTGCTTATACTTTGTTGTTACTGTGACATGCTATCCATAGTGTTAAGAATTCTGCCATCCCGTCTCTACAAAAAATTTTAAAATTAGCTAGGAGCTGGGCACCGTGGCTCACGCCTGTTATCCCAGCTACTCAGAAGGCTGAGGCAAGATAATTGCTTGAGTCCAGGAGGCAGAGGTTGCAGTGAGCCGAGATCACACCACTGCACTCCAGCCTGGGAGACAGAGCCAAGACCCTGTCAAAAAAGCAAAACAATTTCTTGCACTAGCAGTCCCAGCTACTCAGAAGGCTGAGGTAGAAGGACCACCTGAGATCAGGAGTTGGAGACCAGACTAAGCAACACAGCAAGCCCCTACCTCAAAAACAGAATTCTTTGCAAACATTTTAATGGCCAAATAATCTTCTAATGCAGGATTGTGCCACAAATCTACTAAACACTGAACATTAAACTGAATGTTTAGTTGGTTCTACTGTTCGTAGCATAAATATTGCCACGAGTATCAATTTCACTCAATCCTTATAACCCATGAGTTACGAACTGTTACCCTGACCCTCCCCTCTCTTTACAGATGAGACCAAGTAGAATGACTGGTCCAAGTTTACACTGTAGCAAAGCAGAGGATCTGTCCTTTAACCCGAGGTCCCAGGTTCCTTTCCAAATGCATAAGAGACCTCATCTGAGGACTCTTAAAACCTCAACCACACCAAAAGTGGGGCTAGGAATTGTTTCACACCTTCCTGAGCTGTGCAAGCTTTGTTATTTGTTCTGAGACAGGGTCTTGCTCAGTCACCCAAGTGCAGGGGCATGATCATGGCTCACTGCAACCTCAACATCCTGGGCCCAAGTGACCCTCTCACCTCAGCCTGCCAAGCAGTGTGAGCCACCGTGCTTCACCTAGCTGGGTCTTAAAAGAACTAGAATTAAAACCTGGACATTGATAGCTTGGTCTTTTAGGACGTCACTTTTAGGACACTAAAAATGCTGGGGGAGCCGGAGGCAGTGGCTCACGCCTGTAATCCCACCACTTTGGGAGGCCAAGGCAGGTGGATTGCCTGAGGTCAGGTCGAGACCAGCCTGATCAACATGGTGAAACTCTGTCTCTACTAAAAATACAAAAATTAGCCAGGCATGGTGGCGCGCACCTGTAATCCCAGCTACTCAGGAGGCTCAGGCAGGAGAATTGCTTCAACCCGGGAGGCGGAGACTGCAGTGAGCAGAGATCACACCACTGCATTTCAGCCTGGGCAAAAGAGTGAGACTCTGTCTCAGAAAACAAAACAAAACAGAACAAAACAGAACAAAACAAAGGCTGGGAGCAGTGGCTCTTATCTGTAATCCCAGCACTTTGGGAGGTAGAGGTGGGCGGATCACGAGGTCAGGAGTTCGAGACCAGCCTGCCCAGCATGGTGAAACTCCGTCTCTACTAAAAATACAAAAAATTAGCCGGGCATGGTGGCACACGCTTGTAGTCCCAGCTACTTGGAAGGCTGAGGCAGGAGAAACGCTCGAACCGGGGAAGCGGGTTGCAGTGAGCTGAGATTGCACCACTTCACTCCAGCCTGGGTGACAGAGTGAGACTCCGTCTAAAAAAAAGCCAGGTACAGTGGCTCACACCTGTAATTCCAGCACTTTGAGAGGCCACAGATCGCTTGAGCCCAGGAGTTTGTGACCAGCCTGGGCAACATAGTGAGACCTAGTCTCTACAAATAATAAAAAATTAGCTGGGTGTGGTGGTGTGTGCCTTTGTCCCAGCTACTCCAGAGGCTGAGGTGGGAGGATCGCTTGAATCCAGGCGACTGCAGTGAGCCGTGATCATGCTACTGCACTGCAGACTGGACTAAGTAAAACCCTGTTCAAAACAAACAAACAAACAAACAACAACAACAAAAAACCTTGGGGAAAGCATTTCTGGTAGCCCTATAGGACATCATGGTAACCCAACAAATATACATTAATAAACATTCCCAAAAGCATGTTAAGAAAATGTAAAGTTTATTAAAGATTTTAAGTTTACTACTGCCTCATTTATTTCCTGCCCAGAGTACTGACCTACTATATGTGAAAATCTCTAGCTAATAATTAACGTCTGAGTTACAACACAGTACGTAATTTGGGTTAGTTATCATGACCTATTTACACACACCAAAAATCCTCCTCACTCTTGACCTGCACCTGTGCTCAATTCAAGGCAAATCACTAGTTCAAAAAATACATCTTTAAAGAGCGCCTGCATCTGGATGGAGTCTTCCTGGTCTTGTACAAAGTACCCGTGAGTAAGAACTTTCAGTTACACCCCAAGTTGCTCCTGTCCATTGGTGCAATGCTTGTAATTCACAACTCTATGCACAGCTATTGTGTCCCTACCAGTGGATGCTCCTTTAGGCTGGTTCACCCTGCATCAAAGTCATTACAAAATGGGAGAAGGTCAAATGTAAACCCTAACAGACCAAGTAGTGAAAAGATGAATGGCTTTGGAGTGAGCGGGAGCAAAAAATGCAGAGAAAGAGAAGTTTCAAAGCAAAGTGACCACCGAATATAGATTTCTCATACTGTTTGAACTCTCAATAAAATGACTTGGAGCAGTGATGGATGACTGACTCCATCCCAGAGGACTGGGCAGGCACTCAGTGTCCTACTTGTTTCACGCCAAAAGTCTCGCTTTCATTATATTATTTTTTCCAAGAACCCCTGCCTTTAACTGAAAAAAGCATACAGAGGACACCTACTTTCTTCTACTTGGGGACTTAACTCCCCCCAGTTGTGGAACAATGAACTAGACAGACACTACTTAGCTATGATCTTCATCCTTTTTCTTAGTGAGCAATTTTTGTACAGTCTGATTCAGCAAAACAGAAAACAAAACAATGCAAAGGACCCTGCTCTGGCATCCACTGCCTCGACACAGCCAGCCGCGCAGCGCCACCCAAGGCTCTCTGCACTTTCTTCTTCCTCACCCCTCTCCCTGTATTTGTTCTCAGAGCTCTCAAATGGTCAAATGAGCTTGCTCAAAACCAGTTTACCACTATATGAAAATCTGTTCCTGTCTTTGTTGGAATAGGAGTTCAATCTTTCCCAGCACTGGCTGTATTTGGAACTTGCTCTCCACAATCAAAATTTGCCCAATTCCTGATGATCAGCCTACAAAGCTGCTTTATTTGCAACTAAAATATACCTTTAACTTTATATGAACCTAAAATTCTGGCTCTAGCTGTGTGTGAAGGGGGACAGACACATAAAGGTGAGAACAGGCCTTCTCTGGTCCCACACCCTCCACCCTCCAATATCCTTACCTCTTGGGCAAGTGAGCGAAGGGGTCCTTGGCCTTGGGCTCAGCAGCCAGCGCCTGCTCACATTCATCCATCTCCTCCTCAGGAGCAGGGGCAGCCGCCTTTTTCTCCTCCTTCCGCTCAGCCTGGGGCTTCTGCTTCTCTTCCCGTGAACCCTTCTCTTTCCGTGGTGTATCTTTTTTAGGCTGGGTCTCTGCAAACTTTTTAGCTGGTGCAGAGGAAGGGAGGAAAGTGAATGAATGTTCTGCCTCTTTCCACACCCCTCCAAAACCACGCAGGGTAAGCAGAGTAACAGAGGAAACTGACGAATGGGACAAGTAAGGAACCTAGGCTCCAGACAGCCCATCAGTTCACTGTATGTCCTCCAGCAAGAACACACCCTTAGCAACAAATACTTTATATCCCAACTCTACACACTAATACAAATTAGGGTATGAGTGTGCATGAAACAAATTGCACATAATATTAATTACTACATTGACACCCTACATTCTGCAGATCCCTATAACCCAAAAGCAAGACAGGAAATCAAGGGGCTGATGCGGAGCAAACCAGACCCTGATCCTGGCCATATGCCTCCTGATCTCCTCAGACTCACCATCAAACTGGGCCATCTTCTCACACAGCTTCACTTCCCCCAAGACAGCCCGGAACTGGGGCTGATTAATGCAGGTGAGGAACCAGCGGTTGGTATTGGGAAAGGCCTGGCGGAAAGAAGGCTCTAGGACCTGCCAGGACATAAGGGTGGAAACAAAGTCAGTGGAAAGGCCCTGTCCACAGCAAGAACCCTTGCTCTACCTAAGTCCCAGTGCCCACCTTCTTTTCAAACCCTATAGACAACAGCGTCATACAACATCATCCTTCCCTGGATTACTTCCCATTTCTTCATTTTTTTATTTTTTATTTTTTTTTTTTTGAGACAGAGTCTCGCTCTGTCGCCCAGGCTGGAGTGCAATGGCATGATCTCAGCTCACTGCAGCCTCTGCCTCCTGGGTTCAAGTGATTCTCGCAAGTGATTCCTGTGCCTCAGCCTCCTGAGTAGCTGGGACTACAAGTGCCCACCACGATGCCCAATTAATTTTTGTATTTTTAGTAGAGATGGGGTTTCCCCGTTGGCCAGGCTGTTCTCAAACTCTGACCTCAAGTGATCTGCCCGCCTTGGCCTCCCAAAGTGCTGGGATTACAGGTGTGAGCCACCGTGCCCAACCCAAGTAAATTAATTTTTACAAGCGCTTTAAGAGGCTGGACGCAGTGGTTCATGCCTGTAATCCCAGAACTTTAGGAGGCTAAGGCAAGTGGATCATGAGGTCAGGAGATCAAGACCATCCCGGCTAACACGGTGAAACCCCGTCTCTACTAAAAATAAAAAAAGTTAGCTGGGGGTGGTGACGGGCACCTGTAGTCCCAGCTACTCGGGAGGCTGAGGCAGGAGAATGGTGTGAACCTGGGAGGCGGAGCTTGCAGTGAGCAGAGATCGTGCCACTGTACTCCAGCCAGGGTGACAAAGTTAAGACTCCGTCTCAAAAAACAAAACAAAACAAAAAATTAGCCGGGCGTGGTGGCACACGCCTGTAGTCCCAGTTACTCCAGAGGCTGAGGCAGGAGACTCACTTGAACCCAGGAGGAGAAGGTTGCAGTGAACCAAGATCACGCCACTGCACTCCAACCTAGGTGACAGAGTGAGACTTTGTCTCAAAAAAAAAAAAAAAAAAAAAAAGTAATAGAGATGGAATAGAGATGGGGTCTCACTATGTTGCCCAGACTGATCTTGAACTCGTATGCTCAAGCAGTCCTCCCACCCTGGCCTCCTGAAGTGCTGGGATTACAGGTATGAGCCACCACACCCCGCCTCCATTTCTTTTTCTAATCTTTTTGTTCAGTGCAGTACAGTTTAATGGATGGACGCTTGGGTCCATCCTCTATTTAGGAGTAGGAATAATAATTGTCTTGCTCCTTTAGAAAACTATTTCAGAGCTACTGTTTCCAATCTTTTAAATTTCACATGTCGGCCAGGCGCGGTGGCTCACACCTGTAATCCCAGCACTTTGGGAGGCCAAGGCGGGCGGATCACCTGAGGTCAGGAGTTCGAGACCAGCCTGGCCAACACGGTGAAACCCCGCCTCTACTAGAAGTACAAAAATTAGCCGGGCATGGTGGCACATGCCTGTAATCCCAGCTACTCGGGAGGCTGAGGCAGGAGAATCGCTTGAACTCGGGAGGCGGAGGTTGCAATGAGCCGAGATTGCACCATCACACTCCAGCCTGGGGGACAAGAGCGAGACCTCGTCACAAAAAAAAAAAGGTTGAGACCCACAGAGGGGTATCAACTACTTATTTTGCCAAATAAAATCTAAACACTATAGATATTTACTATCTACATTGGCCATACTATACACACACACACACACACACCCATCAAACTTCAAAAAGTAAAGAACATTCAAACCGATTTAGAATGGACAGCCCTGGCTGGGCGCGGTGGCTCATGCCTGTAATCCCAGCAATTTGGGAGGCCAAGGCGGGTGGATCACCTCACATCCAGAGATCGAGACCAGCCTGACCAACATGGCAAAACCACAAAATTAGCTGGGTTTGGTGGTGCATGCCTGTAATCCCAGCTACTTGGGAGGCTGAGGCAGGAGAATTGCTTGAACCTGGGAGGTGGAGGTTCCAGTGAGCCAAGATCGTGTCACTGCACTCCAGCCTGGGTGACAGAGCAAGACTCTGTCAAAAAAAAAAAGAATAATGGATAGTCCTTCAAATTAAAGTTAGTGTCTGGTGTATTGGCCACGGTCAAAGACGAATAAGAATAAACAGCTTCGCGTAGAACTGTTGTTATTTTTTAGTTTGCAAAGATCAGAAGAGGAAAAAAATCTTGTCATGGAAACAGAACATAGCAATCAGAGTGCTGGTTCCACAGTACTTGGGTTCAAATTCTACTCTACCACTTATTAGACTCACTAAGATGATCCCCATGAGGCCCCTGGCACAGGGTCTGGCATGCAGTAAGTGTTTTTCTCTTTGCTATGATCACATTACTATTCTGGACCAGCATGAGTCCAAGAGCTTTTATTTGGAAACCAGTGACATGTCATTCTTTTTTGACCCAATAACCTTGACAGTGATTATTACTACCCTGATTTTATAGACTGCAAAAAGTAAAAAACGGGGACTAAAGCAATTCACCCACAAATAACTCTTTACCTACATTGGTAAACAATGAAGCCAAGGCTTCAACCTGTACTTGTCTCCAAAAGAGCCTTTTTTTTTTTTTTTTGAGATGGAGTCTCGTTCTTGTCCGCCAGGCTGGAGTGCAGTGGCTCAATCTTGGCTCACTGCTACCTCCACCTCATGGGTTCCAGTGATTCTCCTGCCTCAGCCTGCCAAGTATCTGGGATTACAGGTGCCCACCACCACGCCTGGCTAATTTTCGTATTTTTAAGACAGGGTTTCGCCATGCTGGCCAGGATGGCCTCAAACTCCTGACCTCAAGTGATCCACCTGCCTAGGCCTCCCAAAGTGCTGGGATTATAGGTGTTAGACACAGTGCCTGGCCTGCCTCCAAAAAGATCTTAATGCTTCGCCACCATCATCACCTCTGTCTTCACAACTAAGAATAACCAATCTTCCCAAGAAATATGGCAACAAACTAAACATCTTAGCTGCCAAACAGGAACTAAAGGCAAGACATTACCCAACTTCTTAAGACAAGGGAAAGCAAGTGATGGTATTCAGTCCTGGGATTCCTGGCTGTTTTTTGTTTATTTGTTTTGAGACGAAGTCTCACTCTGTTGCCCAGACTGGAGTGCAGTGGGGCAATCTCTGCTCACTGCAACCTCCACCTCCCAGGTTCAAGTGATTCTTGTGCCTCAGCCTCCCAGGTAGCTGGAACTATAGGTGTGCGCCACCACACCCAGCTAATTTTTGTATTTTTAGTAAGGACAGGGTTTCACCATGTTAGCCAGGCTGGTCTCAAACTCCTGACCTCAGGTGATCTGCCTACCTCGGCCTCCCATTGTGTTCGGATTACAGGTGTGAGCCACTGCACCCAGCTCTAGCTGTTTTCCAAGCCCTCAGCAGAATACAGGGTAACATAGATACCTTGTCACTTTGCTTCTAATCCCCATCTACCCTCTGCCAAATAGATTCTCCATAAACTTCACCTGCTTATAGAGCCACAACAGGGTGCAGACAACTGTGATGTCAGCCAATGTCACTCGTTCGCCCACCAGAAAAGTCCTCGTCTTCAAGTGAGCATCCAGCAGCCCCAGAATTCGCCTCACTTCCTCCTTTGCATTCTCAGTGGCCTAGTGATTCAACATGATAAAACTCATCAGTGGGTACCAATCCCTTTCCCTCACCTCCCCAATTAATAGAACTAAGAAGGCTATTTCACCTAGAAGTCTGAGCTCACCCTCACCCTCTTTCAATGGAGACAGACCCTAGGATCATTCTAAATATATCATAAAGGAACTTTAGAGGTCCTCTGGTCCAGCCACCCCCTTTACCATTTGGTATAATCTCTTCACAGCAGCAATCCCTCTTGTGACCACTCATGACAGACACTTCCTCCATCAACTGCCCACTACTTCAAACTTGTACCCCAGAGAGTACGTCTTCTCATTGCCTATATATCCTTGGCACCTTTTTTTCAACCTATTTTATTTCTTACTCCCAACACCCAGGAGCTAAGGCCACCCCTGCCCCTGGCTTCTCCCAAAGTTCCAAGGCTCACCTGTTTGTTGTGGTGCATGATGCCCAAGGTGGGGAATACCCAGGTACTGGCTGGGGGCACTATGTCGGAATCAGCAAAGCTCACCCACTGCACCACCTGGGCTGCTGCCTCTGGAGTACTTCCCCGCAGCTCCTCATTGCTCACTGCAGAGGCAGAACACAAAGGTCAGAACTCTGGGGGAATGCCAACACCAGTCCAGGTCCTGAAGAATTCCTTCATATCCATCCCCGCTCACACCCTCTTGTACACCCTCACCTCCAAATTCTCCCATTCCCATATACCCCTGCAAATTACCATAGTAGGCAATGGCGTTGCTCTCAAACACACAGAATCCATCGTCACCCTCAAATGCTGGAACCTGGGGACAAAGCAGTGAAAAGATAAGGTAAAACACACAAAATTTCTCCCTACCCAATACCAGAAGCCAAACTGCTTTGGATAAAAATACTTATGTAAGACTGACGATCCTCACTATCCAAACTCTCCATACTATCTGATACTCAAGAACCATAAATAAATACTTCAAGAGCTGGGCATCCTTTGCAATCTGAATTCACAATGTTAACTAGGAAGCACAATAGATTTGAATATTACAAGATATTTGTATGAAATCTCTGGATCAAACAAGCAGAAGACCAAAAGTAACTCCTGTATCAATGTATCAGTGCAAGTATTAGTGTGTGACCCAGATCCACATAGTACTTCATCTCCTCCATTCTTAGCATGTTTTTTCACCTATCTCTGTAAACCCCTTGGGGTAAGAATCCTGCCCATAACAGACAATCTGATACATTTGCACTGAAAATGCTTAGTCAAAACTCATTCTCTTTCCCACAAAGTAAACTCATGAATGTATAAAGTCACAGAATAGCTCTGTACTTTTTTTTTTTACAACTACATGTGAATCTGCATTTATCTCAAAATAAAATCACTGAAATATTGAAGAAAATAACATGGGAAGCTCTCTTTTAGAGATGGGGGCCATCTCCAGAATGATAGAATCCCAGGCCTTCGTTTCTCAGAACCGAAGGACACTCCCCATCTCCCAACTCACCTTGCCGGCAGGAAATTTGCGGAGAAATTCAGGGGTGCGGTTGGTTTGGCCAAAATGGAAGTGGGGTGGTGCGGAGAGCACGCGGACCTGAGCCCCGCTGTATTGAGCAGCGATGAGAGCCTTGAAGGCCCTCCAGTTTTCAGGATACGTATACAGGGTCTATGAAAGAAAGAGAGGAACAAAATTAATAAGAGCATTAGGGTCCCAGTCCTAAATGCCACTCCCCAGGATGACTTGCCTGAATAATCCCAATGTGTTCAACTCACCCTTTTACTTCCTCTGGTGAACCAAGTCCTTTAACACTTGTCATATGTAATCAGAATCCTCCGAAATACCAAGAACAGAACTACACACCAACTGCTAAATAAAGCTTGTTGACAGATTTGACCTTCCCTAAGGACACCTCTAGAAGCATTCTCTTTCCCTCAAATCTATCTCCCAAGAAATCCAGAACTTCTAGCTCCATCAGACTCCATCTGCCTACAAACATACTCCCTTCCCTTCACGGAGCCCTCGTTTCATTCATTGATGGTTCCGAGCGCCTGCCTACTCTACTGCCCAGCTGCTCTAAGGCACGCACAACGATCGAGAGGTTTCTAGTTCCTCTCAGAGTGGCCAGAGATAGGGGATGGCATGCCGTCTTCTTAAATCAACTCCTCTCCCTCAAAAGCCTTTCTTTCCGTGTCGCGCATACCATCCCTCCGGTCCTGTCCCGCAGCAAGTTCCCCGGCGTTGCCTTCTCTATTAAGCTGGCCAGCGGACTCCAATTGGTCTGACTTCACTGTCCGGAGAATCCTCTCGCTCCCAAACCTCCCTGACAGACTACCTTTAACCGTGCCAGCCGGACCTGCCTACAAAGACCCGCTCTTCACCCTGTCCCCGCTGTTACTCCACAAAACGGTCACAGAAGTTCGTCAACCTACCCAGATACTACGCCTCAAGGCGGCAATAGAGCCGAACCCCTTTTTCAGGCTTCGGACGGCCCAGATTCGGCATCCCTTTTCTCCTCTTCCCCAGACCCTTCCACCTCTGGCCTCCGAGAGCCCCAGCCTCAGTTCCCCTCCAGGCCGTAGGAACCCTGCTCTCCAGCAGTACGGTCTGTAGACCCAGAATCAGTTCCCCATTCAGCCTCAGAACTCCTCTGGCGCCGACTGGCCCCACTCGGGCAAAGGATGGCGGTGGATAGGATGACCCGAACCACCAGCGCCGGCAAACTTACCCCAGCCGCCATGGTGATTCCGCAAAGAAAGGGGGTGGGGTTCTCCCCGCTGCCGCAAAGTAAGCCGCCCAGGAGAGAAAGGAGGGGGAAAGGGGAGAGCCGTGGAGAAACAGCAGCCGGAAAGCGAGGACGACACAGAAGACATACGTACGACAGTTCGGTATCCAGTGGCGCCGAATTGGAAAAAGAACGGAGTGGGTGGGGCCTGCTGGCCAGCGCGGAAAAAGCTCGCGCCTGCGCATTGGAGATCTTGACTGGCCCGCCCCTCAGGTGCAGCGGACCAATTGGAGTCTAGACGTGGAGGTAGACAGCGTGGAGGGCGGGGAAGCTGTGAGAACCCGCTGGAAAAGCCGCCGGTTCTCGGCTACGTGGCGCCGCTGCTGGCCTGGCGCCGTCAGGCTGCTGGGGGCGTCCCCCTCTGGCCCACCCAGGGACGAGTGACTCGATGGTAGGTTCTGCCAAGCCCCTCACATGATTCTGTGAAACTCATGGGAGCGAGGAACGACTGCTGCGCGGAGGTGGCAGTGTGTGTGCTATATCCTTTAGTTCCTGCTCTGCTTTTCCTCCAGAAAGGGATGAGTGTCTAACAGGGGCCCCGGTCTGAACCCGCCTGCCAAAGTGACGTTTGCTCACATCTAACCCCTTACAGCTCCAGGGTGCTGTTACTGCGAGCAAGGACACCGGCCCTCCGGCCCGAAGCAGGGCAGGGACACGAGGGAGAACGCGCCCTGTCCCTCCCGCCTCCTCCGGACTCGGCCCCTGGAGGGGCTGACGCTGGAAGACCCGACATCGTCGCTTCTGATGTTCATGGCTTTTGACTCATGTTCAGGTTTGAAATCTCTTACCCAGTTTAAGAACGGGATGAACTCTCCTGGTTTAAAGGAGAGAATGAAGAACCCTGAACGCAAATCTCCATCCTTGTCCCCATTAATCTGAGGCGGCAGGAAGAATGTGGAGGCAAACCTGGCTCTTCTCAGTACTGTTCCAGCCACCCACCGCTCTGCCATTCAGGAACTCTGCGCGGGTGCCAGGTGCCACGCACGGTGCTGCCCCCGCACTCCCCGCAAGCTGTGCGAACTGTAGGAAGGAGAGGCTGCTGGGGTGGAGAGCAGTAGGGAGAGACCCATGTTCGGGGTCAGACGAGAGCAGCTTCATGAAGTTCTGGGGGAGGCGAAGCATTATGACCAGATGGAAATGAAAGGAAACGGGAGACTCTGTATTAATAAACTAGCAGCTTTATTGCCCTTTAGGGGCCATGTCTTCACTTCAGATGTTTAAGTGCTTGAGGGAGGAAAACCTGTAAGAAATGATGGAGATCAGGGAACAGGCCTTGGCGATCCTGGAGCGGGGTCACAGTGAGCATTCGGTCAGCCAGGGAGACAGACGCCACAAAGCTCAGCAGGGGCTCAGTTTCTGGCCTCTCTTCGCCACCACTCAGTCCTCTCAGCTCCTGGGTGACCTGAGCCTCAGTTGCCAGCCACCCTGCTCCTGTGCCAGCACCACCTCCGGCTCCTGCCTTGGTTTGCTGCTGCAAGCGTCTACGGGCTCGCCGCCGTCCCTGCCACACTCGGTGCCACAAGGCACAGCGCCAGCTCACTGAGGAGGGCAGAGATGCCCCCTGCCCTGCCTCACCCTGGGACCCTTCTTGGGCTGCCTCATGTCCCTTGGGCCCCCGCTCTGCCAGGGCCGCACAGCTGGGCTGCCCCTCTTCTCCAGGGGCTCCATGCTTTCCAGTCATCAGGGGCAGCTCCCCTGGCTGCCCAGGGCCCTGCATGGCCCAGTCCTGCACCATCTCTCCAACCTCTATAACCATCTCTTCTACCCCGTCCCCTGCACATCCCTGCTGCTCCTCTCTCCCCTCCTCACAGCTCTTTTTCTGTCCATCTAGTTTCAGTCTTTTGCTCGTCCCTCCCTGAGCAGACTCCCCAGTTCCACCTCCTTCTGACCGCGGTCTCTTGGTTCCCTGTTCTATATGGCACCCCAGTGCTTCCCTGAATACCTGCACCAGGGCAGCAGTGAGCTGGGTGAAGGGTGCGAGGGGTAAAGGGATCGGAGTAGCAGAGAGTAGGGAGCTGGGGGAGCTGGGCTGCAGAAGAGGGAGCAGCCCCCAGTCCCGACCCCGGGAGGAACGGCGCTGGTACTGGAGGCTTCGGCAGTAATTGGCTGCCGCTCGGCAGCAGTTCTGTAGGCGCCCAGCCACCCGGCTGGTCACATTGGCTGCGACATTGTGACTCAGGTCAAAAGGGTCCTGGAGATTCATGGGGCCAAGGCGCAGACCCTCCCAGAGATTAGAGGGCAGGCCCCCTGCCACAGGCAGTGCCTGACCCTCCCGCAGGGACAGCAGTGAGCCACGAAGATCCCAGCAAGATACACAGGAGAAGAACTGGGCTAGCAGGGAACCTGGAGGAGGAGGAAGAGTGGGGAAAGGGAGTCATTTAGAGGCCAGAACTGACACAGGTCCTGCACCACAGCCATTTCCTTAGCAGGACTTTCTTTTCCCCTTCCAAGGGGCTCAGCAGAGTCCCAGGAAGATAGGCTTCTCTGATGCCTATAAACAAGAGGTCAGACCTCTCTCCCTGCCCCCACATGATTTCCCTGCCCAGATGCTGCTGCTCCCTGCTAGCCAGTGTAACCTTGGGCAAGTCACTTAATTGCTCCCAAACATGGTTTCTTCATCTGTAAAACGGCAGTAATAATATTAGGTATCTCACAGGTTTTCTGTGAGAACCATGCCTGGCACACAGTGTGATATATGTTACCTACTGTTGATGAACATCATTACTAGTCCTCTACCTGGCTCCCCAAACTCACTGAGGGGCTCCACATTTGTGCTGCGCTCCAGTCTTGAGGCATCCCTGGGGAAACTGCAGTCCCAGCCATCGACTTCCACCTGCTCCCCCTCTCCTGTGAAAGTAAAAAAGTTGAGAGTCAGTCTGGAAGCAGGGAGATTGAGGGTTGGGGTAGAAATGGGGGTGATAGCAGAGATCTCATTCCCAGAGTTGCTTTGGTGTATCTAAGTGTGATGAAGAAGAGAGGAAGCTAACAAGATGGAGAGGGTGGAAGCTAGGCTGAGTACCTGCTTTCTGGGTGAGCTGGGATACAGTGGGCAACACAGGAGGGTCCCTGGTCTGAAGAAAATATATCACCAGCAAGGTCAGGGCGTAGTTACTGAGAAGAGGGCCACTCCCTGGGTAAATAAGCAGTAATTCCAGTTAGATCAGAGGTGCTTCGAATCCCCCCACTGGCAGTTTTCTCAACCTCAGTGCCCATTCTGACCTCCCTTCTCTCCCTGAATCCCTGCCTTTGTCCTGACTCAGCCCCAAGTCTGTCCTGATTCATTCTCACCTGAAAGCCCCCGACCCTGAGCCCAGCAGCGGAGGGTGTACACGAGGGGCCGGACTCGACCATCTAGCTCAGAGACGAGACTCAGGAAACGCGAGTTATGCAGGGCCAGCCTGGGATGAAGCAGGGACAAGGTTGTTAGGGCTTGGGGACATCAGAACCTACCACCCCCAGCTTTCATTCCAGACTTGCATAACTGGGGCCAGCTGGAATAAGGCCAAAACAGTTTCCCCAAAGGTTGTTCAAACACTGATCTTGTGAGACAGTGTGCAAAAAGACAAAGGAGTTCGGGAAACACTTCATCCTGTACGCCCATCCTGGACATTCACAGCACATTATTCTTTTTTTTTTTTTTTTTTTTTTTGAGACGGAGTCTCGCTTTGTCGCCCAGGCTGGAGTGCAGTGGCCGGATCTCAGCTCACTGCAAGCTCCGCCTCCCGGGTTTACGCCATTCTCCTGCCTCAGCCTCCCGAGTAGCTGGGACTACAGGCGCCCACCACCTCGCCCGGCTAGTTTTTTGTATTTTTAGTAGAGACGGGGTTTCACCATATTAGCCAGGATGGTCTCGATCTCCTGACCTCGTGATCCGCCCGTCTCGGCCTCCTAAAGTGCTGGGATTACAGGCTTGAGCCACCGCGCCCGGCCTATTATTCTTAACACTGCTTTTGAGCCATGGTCACACCACTGCACTCCAGCCTGGGTGACAGAGCAACATCCCATCTCAAAAAAAAAAAAAAAAAAAAAAAAAGACTGCCAAGAGCCTTTACTATGCAAAGAAACAAAGACAGGAAGGGAGAGAAGAAGGAAGGAAAGGAGAAAGAGAAGGCAAGGCAAGGGGAGAAGGGAGGAAATGGAGAAAACTTTTTGCATCTAATTTTGACTTTCCCAAATTTATTCAACCGCAGAACTCTTTTCTACATCCCTTGAAAGTAATATTCTAAGGAACACACTTTACAAACACTGAAAGGGAAGCCAGGCAGGAGGAGACAAGGGACAGAAGGAGGGATAGTCCCAAACAAGGACAAACTTGAGACTTGGCAGGTGCAGGAGTTTCCCAAGCCAGACTCCCTCCTGGCGCACCCCAGAATTCTCAGCCGGCCTGCCCCAAAGAAAAGTATGGTGCCTCACGCCTGTAATGCCAGCACTCTGGGAGGCCGAGGCAGGCGGATCACCTGAGGTTGGGAGTTGGAGACCAGCCTAACCAACGTGGAGGAACCCCGTCTCTACTAAAAATACAAAATTAGCTGGGCATGGTGGCGCATGCCTGTAATTCCAGCTACTTGGGAGGCTGAGGCAGGAGAATCACTTGAACCCGGGAGGCAGAGGTTGCAGTGAGCCAAGATGGTGCCATTGCACTCCAGCCTGGGCAACAAGAGCAAAATGTTGTCTCGAAAAAAAAGAAAAAAAGAAAGATACCGGTTACTGAGGGAGATGTCACCGTGGAGACCTGAAGGCCGATGACAGAACTTGACCACAGGGCGCCGGGCGGAGGGCACAGTTTGGACTCGATACACCCCGGGGACACAGCCCCGGAGAATGGATCCCACCAGCTCCAGCATTGCTGCCCCTTCTGCTTTCTCCCGCTTTGGGGCCTCTGCTAGTTCCAGGGCCTTCCCCAGGTCCCCCTCTCCCCTATCCTCCAGCAGTGGTGAGGCTGGAGGCAGAGACTGGGGAGAAGC